ATGTCGGGCCTGCAGGTCTCTCATTCGACTTCCCCTTCCGGGGAGCGAGCTCATCGATCGTGGCAATCTCGGTCACGGCACCCGGAAGCAATTTGCCGTTCTTCGTCCCCTCAACGACGGTCCGCCAATGCCTCCAGGCTTTCTCTGCGGTCAGGGTGTTTTCACTTCTGAAGAAGTTCGGATTGACGTCCTGGGGCCCAGGCGCAAGCTCGGTTGTCAGCGCCTCGCGATACCTTTTGCGAAGCTCAGGGTACGCACGATTGAAGTAGAGGAACTCATTCTTGCGGGTATGGAAAGCGTAAATGATATAGGCATTTCCAACCCAATCGGCAGACATAAACGCCTCATCGCTCGTGAAGAGTCGAATGCCGTCTTGCATCATGAGCTCAGTATCAAAAGCAATCGTGACGGGCCTTCCGGCTCGCGTTCCTGCCAGCTTCCTCATCTGCGCCTCCCAGGGTGGCGTGGGGTTGAAGTAGACGTGGGCTCTGCCTGTCGACTTCGGATAGCCCCCCGGGACCAGGCCGAACTTGAGGATACTCTCGGCCGACCTGAGGTCACAGGTGTGGTAAAGGACCGCCGGGAAGCCTCGGCGCCACAGGTCAGTAAGTTCGGGATGCCGCACCGATCTCGGGTACTCCCCGTGCAAGTACTTTGCCGCGGTGAACTCCTCGTCGAAGGAATACAAATTTGTCAGGATCGCCTGCTCAGTGTATTTCCTTGTGAGCTCGTTGTGGTGTCCTTGCACAGCCCTCACCCGCAAAGCCTGATACGGCAATCCTTTCCAGGATGCTTCCCCCAATGGAGGGGGCCCTACCATCACGCGGAATCGGCGGGTGTTGTTGTTCCGGATGCAGATCATCACCTCCCAAGGCATGACGTTGGCGATCCGGTCATTCAGATGCCTTACCAGCGCATCGAATTCCACCGACAGGTCAATTCCGCGAAACGGCGGGTGGGGCTTGCCGTCCTTGAATGCCCCTCCCCGGAGGAAATAGGACATTTTCTTCGAGATTGCTACCAGTCGGTAGTCTCGGTCCATGTTGACCTTCGGGACGTGCCCCATGTCCTCGACCTCGAGCCACTCGCTCTGCTCCTCGGCCGGGACCTTGGTATTGATCTTCCTGGTCTTCGCCCAGTCTTCCCAGAAGATCTTCTCTTGCTTAGGGTCTTTCTGCTTTTTCGACCGGGGTTCCCCCTCGGCGTTGCCCGGCGGCACCTTGGCCTTCGCAATCCTCGGCATCGCCTTCACCTGGGGCTTGTCGGTCGAGCCTGCAGCCGTGGGGTCCGACTCGTCTCCAATCTCAATGAAACCAGTCGACTGGGGTTCCCCCACAGCGCTCTTGGCAGCAGATCCGCGCCTTGACGGCGGCGGGGTTGGCGGTTGCTTGGATGTGCTGGTGCCCTCCGTCACGGACTCAAAAGCGACCGACTCCGCGGTGATCATGGAACCCATCCCTGCCGCCTCGGAATCATCAGCTTCCGACACCAGCTCCAACGACACCACCGTTTCCTGATCGAACAAGTCTCCTTCCGCAATGATGATCGACTGGCCTTCCGGCGCAGCACGGTGCACTCCTGGGGGCAGGTTCGTTGCATCCCATCCAAAGTCGTGGGTGTCATCGCCCAGCAAGAGCCACTTGTCCTTGTCCTCATCGTCGGGCACAATGGACAGACCGTGTTTCTCCGCCGTGCTGTCAATGTACTGGGACATGGCGATCTCAACGCGGTCCAGCTCGTCGTCGGAGTTCTCTTCTCCTTTGTCGACAGCCTCGAGAACGATCTCGGATTCCTCGACCGTGGCCCCCCGCATCTCGATGGTCATGGCGTTGTAGGACTCGTCCTCAGCCACTTTCATCCAGGCGGCCACGTCGGCGTCGATCTCGTCGCCCTCCTGGTCGTGAGACCAGTCGGGCCTCTCCTCCATCGCCGCGTACTCGTGGAGTGCTTTGGCCAGCTTCAAGCATGTGGGCCAGCCAAACAGCACAGGATCAACCGGTTCACCTCTCACATAGGGCTCAACCCTCCCGATAGCTGGGAGAGCGTACCTGATCCGTTGGGCCAACAGCTGCGTGTTGATTGCCGCATGAAGGAATTTCGACACAACCTTCCGGTTGGCATTGCTGTATGTCATGTGCACGTCATCGTACCTGTGCGCTAGCAATGTCATAACCGATGGGTCGATCGAGTCAATCGCCTTGATGCGGGTCCCATCGTCGATGTCCCCGTTTGCAAGGTGTCGAAGGCAGCCGTTCATAGCCTCGTTGTAATCGGACGTGAGGGCATAGTCCTCGGCGTCCGGGTTGCTGATGAAGGTAATGTCTCGAATGCGTCCGAGCCCAACCGCCTCCTTGAAGAAATCGAGCTGCTCGTACACGCGAGTCTTCTGAACCTTCGGCCATTCCGACGCGGCCTTCCGGCCCGCCTCCGTTCGGTTGAACCTCCCTGGGCATCGGCTATTGATTTAAATCAATAGGTTTCTTGTTCTATTGATATGCCC